CACGCACGCACGCACGCACGCACACACACACACACACACACACACACACGCACACACACACACGCACGCGCGCACGCACGCACGCACGCACGCACGCACGCACACACACACACACACGCACACGCACGCACGCACGCACGCACACACACACACACACAGGCACGCGCGCACGCACGCACGCACGCACGCACGCACGCACACACACACACATACACACATTCACACAGATTCACACACATTCACACACCGTCGGATGCCTGGGTTTGGGTCTTTCTGGGCCTCCCTGTAAGGCTGCTCGTGGTCACGGCTGGATTTCCCCTGAAGTAATCTGCCAGAGCGCACTCCAGTTGTCTGGGAGCACATAACGACGACGACGACGGCGACGAAGGCGACTACGACTACGACGACGACGACGACGACCACAACGACGACGACGACGATGCCGACGACAACGAACACGGCGGCGGCGGAAGGCGGAAGGCGGCATCGGCGGCCGAGGTAGCGACAAGGACGACGACGACGACGACCACGGGCACGACGACGACCACGACGACGACGACGACGACCACCACGACCACGACCACGAAAGGCGACGACGACGACGACGACGACCACCACCACGACCACGACCACGACGGCGACGACGACCACGACGTCGACCTCCACGACAACGACCACGAAAACGACGACAACGACGACCACGACGACGACGATGACGAAGACGACCACGACGACGATGACGCCGACGATGACGACGATACCAACAGACGACGCCGACGACCACGACGACGACGACGACCGCGACCGCGACCACGACAACGACGCCGACGACCACGACCACGACGACGACGTCGACGAAGGCCACGACGACGGCGACCACGACGACGATGACGCCGACGACAACGACGACGACGGACGACGACATTCACGACGACGACGACGACAACGACGACGACCGCAACCGCGACCACGACCACAACGCCGACGACCACGACGACGACCACGACCACGACCACGACGGCGACGTCGACGAAGGCCACGATGACCACGACGACCACGACGACGGCTACCACGATCACGACGGCGTCGACGACCACGACCACAACCACGACCACGACAACGCCGCCGACCTCGACGAAGACAACGACGACCACGACGACGACGACGATGCCGACGACCACGACAATGACGGACGACGACGACGACGACGACGACCACGACGACGACGACCGCGACCGTGACCACGACCACGACCACGACGACGACGACGATGCCGACGACAACGAACACGGCGGCGGCGGAAAGCGGAGGGCGGCATCGGCGGCGGCCGCAGCGACAGGGACGACGACGATGACGACGACGACCACGAAGACGACCACGACGACGACGGTCACGACGACGACGGCCACGACGACGACGACGACCACCACGACCACGACCACGACCACGACCACGACCACGACCACGACGCCGACCTCGACGAAGGCGACTACGACTACGACGACGACGACGACCACAACGACGACGACGACGACGACGATGCCGACGACAACGACCACGGCGGCGGCGGAAGGCGGAGGGCGGCATCGGCGGCCGCCGCAGCGACAGGGACGACGACGACGACGACTACGGGCACGACGACGACCACGACGACGACGACGACGACCACCACGACCACGACCACGAAAGGCGACGACGACGACGACGACGACCACCACCACGACCACGACCACGACGGCGACGACGACCACGACGTCGACCTCCACGACAACGACCACGAAAACGACGACAACGACGACCACGACGACGACGATGACGAAGACGACCACGACGACGATGACGCCGACGATGACGACGATACCAACAGACGACGCCGACGACCACGACGACGATGACCGCGACCGCGACCACGACAACGACGCCGACGACCACGACCACGACGACGACGTCGACGAAGGCCACGACGACGGCGACCACGACGACGATGACGCCGACGACAACGACGACGACGGACGACGACATTCACGACGACGACGACAACGACGACGACCGCAACCACGACCACGACCACAACGCCGACGACCACGACGACGACGACCACGACCACGACCACGACGGCGACGTCGACGAAGGCCACGATGACCACGACGACCACGACGACGGCGACCACGATCACGACGGCGTCGACGACCACGACCACGACCACGACCACGACAACGCCGCCGACCTCGACGAAGACAACGACGACCACGACGACGACGACGATGCCGACGACCACGACGATGACGGACGACGACGACGACGACCACGACCACGACGACGACGACCGCGACCGTGACCACGACCACGACCACGACGACGACGACGATGCCGACGACAACGAACACGGCGGCGGCGGAAAGCGGAGGGCGGCATCGGCGGCGGCCGCAGCGACAGGGACGACGACGATGACGACGACGACCACGAAGACGACCACGACGACGACGGTCACGACGACGACGGCCACGACGACGACGACGACGACCACCACGACCACGACCACGACCACGACCACGACCACGACGCCGACCTCGACGAAGACGACGACGACCACGACGACGACGACGACGACGACCACGACCACGACGACGACGACGACGATGCCGACGACAGCAAACACGGCGGCGGCGAAGGCGGAGGACGGCATCGGCGGCGGCCGCAGCGACAGGGACGACGACGATGACGACGACCTCCACGAAGACGACCACGACGACGACGACGGGTACGACGAAGACCACGACGACGACGACCACGACCACGACGACGACGACGACCACCACGACCACCACGACCACGACCACGACGGCGGCGACGACGACGACGACCACGACGACGACCACCGCGACCGTGACCACGACCACGACCACGACGACGACGACGATGCCGACGACAACGAACACGGCGGCGGCGGAAAGCGGAGGGCGGCATCGGCGGCGGCCGCAGCGACAGGGACGACGACGATGACGACGACGACCACGAAGACGACCACGACGACGACGGTCACGACGACGACGGCCACGACGACGACGACGACCACCACGACCACGACCACGACCACGACCACGACCACGACCACGACGCCGACCTCGACGAAGGCGACTACGACTACGACGACGACGACGACCACAACGACGACGACGACGACGACGATGCCGACGACAACGACCACGGCGGCGGCGGAAGGCGGAGGGCGGCATCGGCGGCCGCCGCAGCGACAGGGACGACGACGACGACGACTACGGGCACGACGACGACCACGACGACGACGACGACGACCACCACGACCACGACCACGAAAGGCGACGACGACGACGACGACGACCACCACCACGACCACGACCACGACGGCGACGACGACCACGACGTCGACCTCCACGACAACGACCACGAAAACGACGACAACGACGACCACGACGACGACGATGACGAAGACGACCACGACGACGATGACGCCGACGATGACGACGATACCAACAGACGACGCCGACGACCACGACGACGATGACCGCGACCGCGACCACGACAACGACGCCGACGACCACGACCACGACGACGACGTCGACGAAGGCCACGACGACGGCGACCACGACGACGATGACGCCGACGACAACGACGACGACGGACGACGACATTCACGACGACGACGACAACGACGACGACCGCAACCACGACCACGACCACAACGCCGACGACCACGACGACGACGACCACGACCACGACCACGACGGCGACGTCGACGAAGGCCACGATGACCACGACGACCACGACGACGGCGACCACGATCACGACGGCGTCGACGACCACGACCACGACCACGACCACGACAACGCCGCCGACCTCGACGAAGACAACGACGACCACGACGACGACGACGATGCCGACGACCACGACGATGACGGACGACGACGACGACGACCACGACCACGACGACGACGACCGCGACCGTGACCACGACCACGACCACGACGACGACGACGATGCCGACGACAACGAACACGGCGGCGGCGGAAAGCGGAGGGCGGCATCGGCGGCGGCCGCAGCGACAGGGACGACGACGATGACGACGACGACCACGAAGACGACCACGACGACGACGGTCACGACGACGACGGCCACGACGACGACGACGACGACCACCACGACCACGACCACGACCACGACCACGACCACGACGCCGACCTCGACGAAGACGACGACGACCACGACGACGACGACGACGACGACCACGACCACGACGACGACGACGACGATGCCGACGACAGCAAACACGGCGGCGGCGAAGGCGGAGGACGGCATCGGCGGCGGCCGCAGCGACAGGGACGACGACGATGACGACGACCTCCACGAAGACGACCACGACGACGACGACGGGTACGACGAAGACCACGACGACGACGACCACGACCACGACGACGACGACGACCACCACGACCACCACGACCACGACCACGACGGCGGCGACGACGACGACGACCACGACGTCGACCTCCACGACAACGATCACGACGTCGACGAAGACCACGACAACCACGACGACGACGACCACGACGACGATGACGCCGACGACGACGACGGTGAACACGGCGGCGGCGGAGGGCGTTATCGGCGGCGGCCGCCGCAGCGGCAATCTGCGGCCGTGGGGCCGGCGCCCGCGCCTCAGGCCGTCCGGCGGGCGCCGCACACCCGCAGACGTCGAGCGCGCTGCGCGCGCGGGCGGCGGCGCGGCCCAGTTTGGCGCCGGCGGCTGGCGCGAAGCGGCCTGCGGCGCAGCGGAGCGAACGGAAAGGCTCGCGGCGCACCGGCTCTTCCTGGGAAGCCCCTCCCTCCCTCCCTCCCTCCCTCCTGCGTCCCTCCCTCCCTCCTCTGAGCATCCCCCTCCCTCCCTCTGATCATCTCCTCCCTCCTGCGTCCTCCCTCCCTCCCTCTGATCATCTCCTCCCTCCCTCCGGCGTGCCCGCCTCGGGCTCCTCCCGCCCTCCCCGTTCTTCCCCCCTCCTGCCTGCACGCCTTCCCCTCTCACCCTCTCTGTCCCCCCCCCCCGTCCGCCCGCCTCTGCCTCCGCCGCCCTCCCTTTGCGCTCCTGCCTCTCCGCCCCTTTGGCACCATTCGGCACCGTGACTTTCATGGAAAGATCACGAAAGGCTCGCGAACCTTCCAGAGGTATGATAAAGGGGAACTGGAACACACAAGTATATAGACACAAATAACCAGATTCCCCATATTTTCCCATATTTTCTGGGCTTCTGTCCTCCCCCTCACTTCCCCGATCTTCCTATATTTTCTGGGGGGTCGACGACTAATTGTGTCTGTGTGTTTTCCCCCTCCTGTTATTAGGCATCGTCCTGGTGCCATTACTGCGCCGATTCCCGTCCGCCCCCCCCGCTGCAGGCCTCGGGCAGCGCAGCCCTCGACGGGAGGAGGCGGGCGGGCACCGAGCTCGGGGAGCCCCAGGAGGTTCCCTGTGCTGCTGGGGCCCCCAACACCGCGCCACCGCGCCACCGCGAAGCGCGCAGGGAAAGACCCGCCGCACCGCTGATTGATCCTCCGACTCGCACGTGTGTCGGACATACACCCTGAGCGGTGCGGAGAGGCCGGGCGGACATCGGAAAGCGACATCCAGGGAGCTTGAGAGGTGAGGAGAAAAACTTCCGCCCTGCTTGCAACATCGACCAAAGGACGGCGAATCCGAGGTCAGGGTACGAGGGAGCAGCTCGCGGTACCCCGAGACGCTGGCGTTGCAGTTGTTTCGAGTCCGGCGTTTTCGCCCGCTTGCGGGCCCTGGGGCCAGCACGGATCCATCTGGGCTCGAAAAGTGCCGCAGAGAGATGGGAGAGCATGCTGCGCATGGAATGAGTTCAATGAAAGCGAAATGCATTGGATCCATGAGTGGACCAATCCAGCTTGATGAAGCTACGATGCGCCTTCTGATTTTGAGCTGGCTATGATGCCCGCTCGTGCCCACCCCGCCTCGTCTTCAGGGACTCCGTATCCCCCTTACGATGGTAGGATGGGGAGACAGGCCGCCGCCCCTGGCACCGCACGTAAGGTGCCAAGTTTGTGGGAATGGGGTTCGACCCTCGCAGTCCCATTGATGGATACCGCGAGAGGTGTGAGGCCTCATGGCGGTCCTCATTGACAAAGCCTATGATGGTCCTCACTGGGGGGGGGGAGAGGGCAAGAGTGGACGTCCACCGGCAACGTCCTGGGAGGGACTCCCGAAAAAGGGTCATATCGAGGAGAAGGAAAAGGAAGAGGAGAAGGGGAGGGAATGGGGGAGAAGGGGACGGGGGGGAGGGCGAGAAAGGGTAAGGCGACGAGGAGGAGGATAACGATGACGAGGAACTCGGCGAGCTCGTGGAGCACGGGCTGCTGCTGCTCCCCGAGGTGCTGCCCTCACGTCGAGGGGCTCTGCTCGCGATGTTACACGATGCTGCCAATCCTTCGCCACGCCGGCTCTAGGGGCGCGCCGAGGCCAGGACAGGGGCAAAATCGGACAGGGACGGAACGGGGATCTCGGAGATCGGACTCCGCGACCTTCTCTTGAGCAGGGACCGACCGTCCCGGCATTCCTATAGTCCTACCACGAAATGTTCTTAGAACCAATAGAAAGTTCTGAGAACAACAACACTGTTCTTAGAACATAAACCCGATGTGCTAAAACAGGACAATCTCAGCCAGAACATGTTCTGAGAACATTTCGTGCAAACCACGAAACCCAGATCATGCGTTACCAAAAATTTGGGTAACGGTTCGCGGTCTCGGTCGTTTTCGTTTTCGGTACCCAAGAGGGTAACGGTTACCGGTCGCTACCGGTCGCTACCGGTCCTCGGTAACGGTTACCGGTCGCTACCGGTAGCGACCGGTAGCGACCGTCAGAGTCGTGCGTGTTGCTGGTCCAACAAGAGCATCTGACGTCAGATGCTGCAGTTCGTAGTAAGAAACTACAGATCTGACGTCAGACTGACGTCAGATCTGTAGTCGTAACTGTTTTACCAGGGCATAATCACTTGTTAACTGTAGACGTAACTGCATACCAGGGCATTAAATGTATATGTAGTGTTGACGTAGTCAGTTCGTTCCCCCTACCACTTCTTCATCTCCCCCATAACGAAGTCCTCACCGCTGCCCATTCAAACCTTTCTCATGGTGCATCCCCCTCCTCCTCCTCCTTCTCCTCCTCCTCCCCCTCCTCCTCCTCCCCCTCCTCCTCCTCCTCCTCTTCTTATTTCTTCCCCCTATGGTCCTTTCCTTGCGCCCCAGCGTTGGCCCCTCTGCCTGCAGACTTCCCATCTCGCCAACTTCTCATACTCATGTATCCGTTCTCCTTTCCTCCTGTATACGCTGCATCGTTCACTCGAAGACTGGCCGTTCGAAATGTATACACTGGTTCGTTCATGGATCGAAATCAGTAGCCATTTCGGCTCAGCGGTGGTGCCGTGGCCGAGGTCGGTGCTGCTGCCGCGGCCGAAGATGGCGCCGTGGCCGAAGGCCATGCTGCTGCCGCGGCCGAAGCCGCTCGTCGTCAGGGCTCGGCCGAAGCCGCTCGTCATCAAGGCTCGGCCGAAGCCGCTGGCGCGCCCGCTGCCGCCGCCGCTGCCGAAGCGGCGCCCCAGGGCCAAGCCGAAGGAGAAGCCCATGCCGAGGGAGAAGCGGGCGCCGCGGCAGCGGCAGCGGCAGCAGCAGCAGCAGCAGCAGCAGCAGCAGCAGCAGCAGCAGATGCAGCAGCACCAGGACAGCAGCGCCGCAGCACCAGCGCAGCAGCACCAGGAGAGCAACGCCGCAGCTTCCAGCGCAGCAGCACCAGCGCAGCAGCACCCGTGCAGCAGCAGCGCGGCAGCTTCCAGCGCAGCAGCACCAGCGCAGCAGCACCCGTGCAGCACCAGCGCAGCAGCACCAGCGCAGCAGCACCAGCGCAGCAGCACCAGCGCAGGGCAGCAACACCAGCGCAGCGGCGCCAGAGCGCAGGGCGACGCGGACCAGCACGACGAGCAGCAGCAGCAGGTGCCAAAGGGCGACGCGGACCAGCACGACCACGAGCAGCAGGTGCCAGAGGGCGACGCGGACCAACACGACCAGAACGAGCAGCGGGAGGCGCCGATCTATGGCTTCTTGTAAGAGCTCTCTCGTTGGCGCCTTGCGCACAATCATCTATCGCCATCCCAACCATCAACACCACCATGAACAGCCCTGGTCATACCATCGCCAATATAGAGCGCAGCGTGAAGATAGCTTTTGGAGAGCGCGAAAGCAAAACCACTATAGCATCATGACCGTCACCGCCGTCATCATCATCGACATCATCATCATCATCATCATCATCATCATCATCATCATCATCATCATCACAAGGAGTTTCCTCATGCGGAAGCTCAGGCAGATAATATGACATCAAGAATCCCTGGCAGCTCTGGAAGAAGACGAGGAATGATTATATCTGGCAGCTCAAGATATGAGATCAAGAAAAAGAGGATGAGGGCGCTCAGGATGAGGAAGGGGATACGGCATCAAGAATCTCTGGCGGCTCAGGAAGAGGAAGAAGAGGAATGATAATATCTGGCAGCTCAAGATATGACATCAAGAGGAAGAGGATGAGGAAGCTCAGGAAGAGAGGGGGCGGGTGCTACAGGGGGAAACGGGAGAGGAGACTGAGGATGTTGGAAGGGATGCGGGGGTAGAGGCGGTGCCATCGGTCGGGGGCCGCCATCGCCGCCACCTCCTCCACCGTTTGCCGACCGTCCTCCAAATCCCCTTTCCTGCTCTCCCCCCTAACTTGCTGCCCCCCACCCCTTACTGCTCTCCCTCTTACTGCTCCCCCCCCCGCCGCCGCATCCTCCACCTTTCCCTTTTACTGTTTCTTACTGTTCCCCCCTCTCCCCCCCCCTTACCGCCCCTCCCTCCCAGCGTCGCTCCACCTTTCATTTCGCGCCTTCACGCGCGCAAGCTTTGGCCCTAGCCATGCTGGTGGTTGACTGGTCCGCCGACGGCATCCCGCGGCAAATCTGCCTCCGCGCGCCGCCAGACGGGCTGGACCGTGACCGCCCTGGCTGGCACAACGCCAGGAACGGTATTGAGCTCGGCGGCGAGGAAGGGCTCGTGGCCCGTGACCAATGGGTCGGGCCACGCCGCTCCCCAGCCCCGCCGCGGCACTTGCCCCCGCGGCCCCGCTCGGACCTGCCGCCGTGGGCCCCGCACAGGCTAGAGCTGCCGCAGCCCCCCCGTCGCGCTCTCTCGCCCGCAGCGCGGAGCCCTGGGGCCGCCGCCGCCGCCCTCGTCGCCACCGCGTGCCGCCGTCGAGCTCTGCACGGGGCCGGCGGTGTGGGCGCCCACTTGAGAGGGCCAGGTTCGGTCGCAACTCATGGGAGCCTCACATACCATCGTGTCGGCTCCTGCGATTCGACGCCAATCGACGCTACATCGACGCTGATCGGCGCAAGTCGACACTGTATCGACGCTGGTCGACGCCAGCCGACGCCGATTCGGTGCTATCTCATCGGTGCGTCCTAGACGCTACTCGGCGCTTGTCGGCACTGACGAAATTGAAGGCTCCCATGATTTGCTGCCGAGCCTGGCCGCAGGGGTCCCGACCCCTTCCCCCGGGGGGGGTCTTCCATCCCGGATCCACTCCTGATCGTCCTGGGCACGGTAAGGGACCCCGCAGGCCGAGATCGAGGCAGAGAGCCAGGACTGGAAATAACATACAGTCAGAGATCTGGGAGGGGCGCGGGGGGGGGAGGCTGGCGGGGAACGGGCGGCTGGCGCGCACGGACGAGGCGAAGCGACTCTCACCTCGCCCGTCAAGGCTGCCGCGCGCGGGTGCTGGGAGTGAGCGTCTGGGCGCCCGTCACTCGGTCGCCCGAAAAATATAGCTGCACGGTCGGATTTCGTTGGGCAGGACACACGAGAGGACACGAGACCATTCCGAGGGCCACACTGCCACAGGAATGCAGGGAGCATGGGCCGCGAGACACAGGACACAAGGATACCCTTGACTTGGCGGGGTCGACCCACTGATCTGGGCCGACTGTACCACGTCCTCCGATTGTGACCACGGCCCGGCTGTCCGACGCAACGGTGATCGTCGAGCACGCGCGGGCGGGGAGAAGGGAGAAGCCGGCCTCCCAGCCCGGTTCGAACGCGGCCCGGACGTGCTCCTCCCGCCCGCAGCAGAGCGCAGAGGGGGGAGGCGGCGGCGGCGACGACGGCGAGGGGGGGAGGGGAGAGAGGGGGCGGGGACGAGCCAGGTGCGCTCGCGCCATATCGACGTCCTGCCCTTCACTCCCATCCCTTCTCTCTGCGTTGACTCCCTCTCTGTTCGCAGATTCGGGTCTGGGATTTCCTTGACCCCCACTGTCTGTCTCTCCCGACACCCCAGTGCGCACTCAGCAAGGAACGGCACGCAAGAGGCACCCCTGCGGACTCCGCAGTGCGGAGACACAAAGCACACGCGGAAGCGGGTGAAGGCCAGCGCGCGGCGACGGCGCCGATGCGTTGGACGGAAGCTCTACGGGGATCTAAGGTGGCATACTCTGCAGGGGGAGCACCAATTCTGCTGGTGCAGGGCTACGGTCAGCGCTGCGGCGAGGGCACTGCTACATCAGACATCGACGGAAATACAGACATGTGGTAAACCTGCAGATGGACCATCATTCATTTTCACTGATACAAGAGTACGACCACCACTGCCACAGCTGCGGAGACAGCGTCGTTCTGTTAAACGGAAGCTACCTGGTGGACAGAAAGTGCGGCAAACGCACCAGCGAGAGCACCACTTTTCGAAGGAAACTAACGTTCTGATTGAACGCAGGAGTACAACCATCGCTGCCACCTCTGCGGCGACAGCGTCTCTCGCTTGGACGGAGTCTCTGGTGATCATGAGGCATGGCGACCGCACCAGCGAGAGCACCACTCAAGGTAGTTACATATCTGGCTGACAAAACCGTATCGACGAAAAGCAGCTCGGACACATTCAGGGTAATACCACAGTATGCGAGATAGTTGCTCTCAAACCAGGACGACATCAGGGGGGGGGAGAGAGAGTCGTAGGGCAGTACCCAAATTATTAGATGTGGAGGGGGGCGGCAGGCTTGTAGCCGGCAGTCGAAGCGAATCGAAGCACAATCGAAGCGGCAGCACAATCGAAGCACAGTCGAAGCACAATCTAACCACAATCGAATCGTAGCCCCCCCTGTGTGGAGAGCACAATCGAAGCGGCAAGCTTGTCGCCGTTCGCGGCCCCTGGGGACCCTCCCCGAGCCCTGTGGCCGTCTAGAAGGCGGCTCGGGATGAGAAGCTGGCCCCTGGGAAGGGGTCGAGGGCTCTGGGGGTCCACGCCGTGAACAAGCATAACACTGAGCATGCTGAGTATGCGTCGGAGGCCTGGGGAGGGGAAGGGGCGGAGGATGGAAACGTGAAAGGTGGAGGGCCTCCAGGAGAAGGCCCGAAGAGGCAGGAAGGGCAGGCTCCCCCCGCACAAAGCAGTGTGCTGTGCCGCGCCGATCGCGTGCGAGGCAGCGTCGGCCCCGCAGACACGAGGGGCAACGATAGGGGGGACTGGCACAGTTCAGGAGCGAAAGAAGGACGTACATGTACATGAATCCACGCTGGTTTCGAGAGCACGCATTGCTCAAATGTTCGTATCACGCGGTCGGTCTCGCGAATCGAGGGGCCGTGTTCATGTACATAGCTGGGCGCGTACGTCCTTTGTGGGCTCCCTGCACAGGGGGGGGCATCGACCTGGAATCGGCGGCACGTCGCCGAGAGCTCGGCGATAGGCCCCCGATAGCGAATCCGCACGTCCTGGGCGGGGTGCGGCCACAGGACCCACGTCGGCCATCCATGGGCGGCTGGGGGTCGACGCATTCCCTGCTATGCTATGCCTCTCCCCCCCTACAGTAGGGGCCCGATCACCAGAAGCCTTCCTCAAGAAACCCAGCCCTGAGACCCCAGGGCGTCCATGGATTTTTGGTGTGGGCACGTCACGGTTTCCACAACAGAACCATCGAAACCCTAGAGACCCAGGGCACCCTGGAGGCAGGCCAGGTGTTTCTTGGCATGGGCTTCCACTGCATCGAAGCCCGCGAAACCGGTGGCTCTCCGCAGCGGGTGCCACACGGCGGCTGCTCAGAGGGAGAGGAAGCGAGAAGCAGGCAAGCGGCGCCGACGGGCGCGCGAGAGGTGCAAGGCCGAGGCCGGCGAGAGGAGGCGGGCGGGACGGGCCGGGCGGGGAGGGGGAGGAGCAGGGGAACACAGGTTGAGGGAGGAGGGGGAGGAGGGGGAGGAGGAGGAGGAGGAGGAGGAGGAGGAGGAGGAGGAGGAGGAGGAGGAGGAGGGGCAGGAGGAGGAGGAGAGGGGGGGGGCCATCTTTTCGCCCCGAGTCGTCTTCCGACAGTCCCAGGCCCCGCGGAGGGGCCCCAGAGCTCGAAGACGGCGAAAAACCTCGGGGCCGTTTCCCTCGGGACCATGTTGCTTCACGGGGAGAATCGGCGGCGTTCAACTGGCCATCGCTCGGACGTCCATGCCCTGTGTTTTTGTTCGGTTTCGTGCGTGTTTTTTTTTCCGCCAAATCATCAGGGATGCTCCTCGATGGACCTCGCCGAAGGAAAAGTGCACGCGTCCGAGCTATGCCAAGTCAAGAGGGGCGCGTTCAAGAGGGGGGAGTCCGAGAGGGGGGCTCGCACGTCGTGGCCCGAGTGCGCGGACAAGGGGAGAGACCCAAGGACGCATGGAAAGAAGAGCTCCTCCTCCTCCTCCTGTGGCGTTGCAGGAGGTGCAATATGTCTGCCAGGAGCGAAGCCACACTGCGGGTTATGTGCAGCGGGGCCGCTAGGAGGTGCCAGGGCAGCGAGCCCCAGCGCTGCCGCGCCGACATCATTTTCGCTGCCGAACCCCAGGCACGCCTTCACACTGCGAGCAGCCCCGCGGTGTCAGATCCTGTTCCTCCCTCGCTGGGCCAGGACCCCTCCTCCCCCTCCCTGACCGACGCCGCGTTGGAGGCTGGGTTGAATGCCATTGCCGCGCTGGGTCACAGGCCTGCCCGCCACAGTAGGGTGACCATATGTCAGAGGTGTGCTGGATACTGGATCCTCCCCGACGGCAAGTGCCGCAAGCTCAGTAGACAGTGCGAAGGGGAGGCCAAGGTAGCCAGCACGATTCAGAATCACAGAATGTACTGGCGTCACGCAGAGGTAGGTTGCCACCCCAAGACGGGCGAAGTTTTGGGTCCGTGGGATGGCGCCCTTGTTTCTGGTTCGGGGCCTGGGGCCGTTCGTTTCCCGTCCTCCGAGGCCACTGGACCTAGGGCTAGCTCTGCGTGTTCGGCCAAACATGATGGTATGGGGCAAGGACACTGTGGTGGTCGTGTCGAGACGTCGTCCCGTCGTGCACCACGTCCTTGCCCTCCCACGGCTGCGAGCACAGTTTTGACTCAGGCTCAGCCTGTGCCTGCTTCGGACTCTGATTAAATCAGAGTTGGCCTCCTGCTGCGGTGCGAGTGGGGACTGCCCGGCGGTGCGCCGTTAGTGACCCTCGCACCGCTGGAGGCCAGTCTTCGGGGCGCGTAGAGCCCCCCTTCGCCAGGCCCCTCACCTGGCCTCTTCACTGCTCGGCGCTAGTCACAGACCTGCGCCTCGGCAGCCGCAAGCCGCAAGCCTCCTCCTCCTCCTCCTCCCTGCTCCTCCTCCTCCCTGCTCCTCCTCCTCCTCCCCCTCCTCCTCCTCCTCCTCGGGTGCCGTGAAATCTGAGGATCTGTCGTGGCCCCAGTCATGTAACTCTCCCTCTCTACAGTCGACCCGTATCAGAAGGACGCGCGACAAGGACGCAAGGGCCTTGGAAGGCCATTTCGAAGCTTTTCGAGCGGAGCGCGGCCAACGAAAGTGGCCAAGAATGGACCGAGGAGGCAAGGATGCAAGGGTACCCATGGGAAGGCTGCCCCTCCTGGCCATGCGGATCGGCTGTAATCATTCGTTCCCTCATGGCCGCCCCGAGACCCTGACATCCGCCGATGTGGTTCTTCAATCCGCGACCCCAGAAATAATTATCGACCCCTCCCCTGGGAACAGCTTTTCGCCCCAGATCTGGTCTTGATGGTCCCGGAATCTGGGAACAGCCCCCGGAGGCCGAAACGAAGGGTGAACGCAGGGACTGAAATGATCAGGCCAGAGATCGGCAGATCGGAGGTGCTCCTTCCCCTTTTTTCACAGCGCTGCGCCCAACTACATTCAGGACTGACGTTTCGTGGGGAGCTCAGACTCAAAATTGACCGACAATCGGCGCACGATATGGCTGGTTATATCGAGAGTGAAGGCAGTCGGAGTCTACGCAAAGGGGCGCTGGAACAAGCACAGAAATAGAGGAGCAACAAACAACGACACAGACATGAATCGTCGGAGGTCCGCGCAGATATCCTGGATCCACACTCGACCCCCTTCCCTGTCGCGCGGAGTGCACCAGGGGCGGCGCCGGAGGCGCCGCTAAGGGGCTGCAGCGCCGATCCGAGAAGTCCGCGCGGACTGTCGAAAATGTATGGTCGTGCCGTCTGTCTTGCTCTTCGGAAGACGGCGGCCGCTCCTTCTCCGCCAGCATCCGCCGGAACGGGTTCGTCTCCGCCCCCCGCCGCGGGCCCCGTGAGCTCTCGGAGGCGCGCGCCGGTGCGCCCGCGCCGCGGCCGGCGACCGCAGCCTGCGGGGCCGCGGGTGCCGCGCCCGAGGCGCGTGCGCGCGCCGCGCGCAGGCGCCGCGCTCGAGGCGCTCGGAGCCCCGCGCGAGGGACCGCAACCCAGACCTCCTCGAGTCGCGTACAACACACGACGAGGTTTTGTCGTTGTCTCTCGGCCTCTGCCCTCCAGTGGCGCTCCTCTCGCCCTCCTGGGGCACGGAGGCGCTCACAGGGCCGAAAAGGGGCTTCGCTCCTTTTTTAGCGCTCCTTCTTTCAGCTGCCCGACTATAAGACGACTCTGGGAGGAGGAGGGAGGAGGAGGAGGAGGAGGGAGGAGGAGGGAGGAGGAGGGAGGAGGGGAGGAGGAGGGAGGGGGGAGGAGGAGGGGGAGGAGGGGGGAGGGGGGAGGAGGAGGAGGAGGGGAGGAGGGAGGAGGAGGGACCGTCCTGAGACGACTCTGGGTGACAAGCCTGCCCCCGGGGAGTGGGAGACGAGACCCCTAGGGGTCGACGTTGGCGCTCGGGGCCTCCGCGAGGAGCGCCCCCCCCCCCCCCCGCCATCGCTCGGACGTCCATGCCCCGTGTTTTTTGTCGGTTTCGCGCGTGGCTTTTTCGCCAAACGATCGGGGATGCTTCTCGATTGCCTCGCCGAAAGAAAAATGCACACGTCCGAGCGATGCCAAAATCCCGCCCCCCCCCCCCCCTCCGGGGCGCCCCCGCCGGAAGGACGCCTCCTGGAGGCCCCGACCCTCGATCGTTCCTGTCTGAAGACGCTGCTGCTTTGAAAGGGCCCTGGGACACACAAGTACATACACACAAGTGAAAGGATTGCCTATCTTTTCCCATCTTTTCTGGGTTTCTGTCTCCGCCCCCGCTGCCCATATTTTTCCACATTTTCTGGGGATCGACGACGAATTGTGTCTGTGTGTTTTTTCTCCTCCTGATGCTTGGGCGACCGCTGGGCGCCGCGCGCGCGCGACGCCGTCCCGGCCGGCGTCGCCTCCTTTGCGCCGCAGAGAAACAGCCAGGTCAGCGCTGTTCTCCGCAAGAGTGGCTTAAAAATGCCACCGACACCGCCCGAACACTGGCATGACCGACAGTGGAACTGACGCCCCAAGGCCGCATTGAATCACCGTCGGGCCTCCCAGGCATCGCCCAAAAGGGGCTGGAGCAACCCGAACGTCAACCGGATCCCGTTTTGTGATCCCGACTGGAACACGTTTCGACCAGGACGTCGCGGGGAATCCGGCCGTGCCCGCGATCGAGGAGCCTCCAGGAAGACTGAAGACTCAGATTTGCCAAAATCTGATTTGTTCAAATTGGGCGTTTTCCCTCGAATGCCGAAAACAAAAGTGGGTTGTTGACCAGGCCCATCAAAAATGGATCTGGCGAGCGGGTCGGGACCTGTGGGAGCGCGCATCGGAAGAATAACCAACCGAAAGACCCAACTATATGCAGTTGTACGTAACGCAATTGTGAATATCGGTTTTGGTGGAGATCCCTATGGTGCCACGAAGCATGTGAATGATGTGCCGAAAAGGGCGCGTTGGGCGCATGCGAACGCGTGTGAAGGGTGTGCCGTCCTGGGCGCAGTAGCGCCGTGCGAGCGCAGCCACTGGGGCCTTCGGGCGAGCTCCCTGTGGGGCCACGAAGCGTGTAATGGTGTGCCGAAGTGGGCGCGGTAGTTACTGCCATGCGAGCGCAGCCACTGGGGCCTTCGGTGAAGTTCCCTATGGGGCCACGAAACGTGTGGGCGCGATGGTGCCATGCGAGCGCGGCCCTCGGTGGAACCCCCGTATGGGGCCAGGAAGCGTGTGAGGTGTGCCGCACTTGGTACGGCGGTGCCATGCAAGCCAGAACCCTTCGCGTCGCGAAGAAACCGCGGCGGAAAGCGCTTGGCGATTTGCGTCATCTGTGGGCCTTTGCTGGGCCCCAGGGACGTGAGAAAGCCGAGCGTCTCCGGGATCCGCGTTGCGGAATTAATTGCGGCACGACGTCTGGCATCTGGGTCCTTACTGGTCTTGTTTTCCAATTAATATGCTTCTCGTCTTCCTGAAAACATGAAGCGAATCTGCGCGCGCCACGCACCGCCGTCGCGTTCGCCGCACGGCGAGCGCGATCAGGAGCGCCACCGCGCCCCAGGGGCCACCCAACCCCGCCTGTGGAAGCCGCTCAGCCGGCCAGCTCCGCCGCCAGCTGGGCCGCGGTTGTGCTGGGGCCTCTTCGCCGCGCGCGGCGGCGCGGAACTGCGACGGCGCGGGGAAGCGCCGCGCTGAGCCTGGCGCACCAACGCCGCATCAGCGCGCTGGCCGCAGCCTGCCTCGGGGCCGTCGCCGCGGCCCTGCGCCTGGTCGCGCGCGAGCGAACGGAGGTGCCGCAGCGCCGTCTGGCCGAGGCGGCTGGCGGTTTTGCTCGCCAGCGGCAGCACTGGCCAAGGCGCGCGGCGCTCTCCCGTCGGCCGGCGCGTCGACGTCGACCGCGCCGCCACCGTCGACCTGCGGCGGCCGCCAAGCCCCCCTCGTCTCCAGGGGCGCCGTGGCGGAGCGCGTTGTCATCGAAGAGGCGGGGGCAATCTCCCCGCTGCGCCTCCAAGCCCAGGAGCGACCCTCCCGCTCCGCCACGACCGCCGCCACGCAGGCCGCGCATGGCCGCGGCGGCGGGGCCTCGGCAACGCCGTCTCGCGCAGGCTGCAGAGCGCAACCTGCCCCACTCACGCGCTGGCACCTGCCTCGCCGTCTGGAAGCCGCACTCCTGGCGGGCGCGTTCACGACCGCCCCTGCGCGTCGCAGCCCGGCCCCGCAAGCGCGCCGGCAAGCGCGGCGCGCCTTGCGGCAGGGCGGCTCCGCGCAAGCCTGCCCAGCCCTCTCGCTGGCCCGATGGCGATTGCCGCGGCGACCCCTGGCGGGCGCGGCGCCTTGGCCCAACAGGGCCGCGCGGCGGCGCGGGGGCCAGCGCCCCCCCCTCCCGACCGCTGGCGGGGCCCGCCGCCGGCGAGCTGCCAGCCCGCCGCGCGAGGCTCGCCGCGAAAGCTGAAGCGGCCTCCGCTTCTCAGCCCCCCAAGATGCCCAACAAGGCGTGGCGTTTTTTGTGTCGGGCCTTTGCGTGAGCAGCCGCAGGATTCTCTAATGCCGCATTCGTCAGCCGGCTTTCTCCAGGGCCGCAGCTCCTCCTCCTCCTCCTCCTCCTCCTCCTCCTCCTCCTCCTCCTCCTCCTCCTCCTCCTCCTCCTCCTCCTCCTCCTCCTCCTCCTCCCCCTCCAGCAGCAGCTCTGCTTGCGCCCCCCCCTGGCAGGGCCGCCACGGGTTCTGCGCCCAGGCGGCCGCCCACGCAGCTGGCGACACCTCGGCCTGCCTGCCTGGCTCGGAAGGCCCCAGCCGCCCGGCCGCAGCCGCAAACGGGGCTCTCATGCCCCAGCCGCAGGGGGCCCAAGCGCGCGAGCTCCCCTCCTCCAGCGCGGCGCCGTCGAAGGCAGTGGCGGCGGCCCCGGCGCGAGCCCGCCGGGCGGGCGGCGCGGAGCTGGCCCGCGCCGCCCGGGGGGCGCGGCGAGGCCAGCAGCGCGGGTGGCTCTGCGAGCCGCGGCCCTCCGCAGCCTCCGCACAGCGCGCAGCCGCGAGGCCTGCGCTGCCAGGGTTGAGCCGTCGCGCGCCTCTCTCGATCGGGCACGCCGCCCGGCGGCAGCGGCTCACCGAGCGGGGCGCCCTGCAGCGCGATGCCGTCTGCGCGCCGACGCTCGCCCGCCGGCAAGGCGGGCGGGCGGACCGGGTCCGCGTCTTCCGCCGCCGCGGTTCCAGCCGCAGGCGCCCCCGAGTCGCTTCCGTGGCCGCCCCGACCCCGCCGGCCAGGGCGGGCGGCCCGAGGACGATGACTTCGCCTAGCATTTGCAATGCTCTGCATTGCTTGGCATTGCTTCGCATCGCATTGCATTGCTCGGCATTGGTTGGCTGTGCTTTGCATTGCTTCGCACTGCTTGGCATTACTTGGCATTGCTTCGCATTGCTTTCCAATGCCTTGCACTACTTTGCATTGCTTTGCATTACTTGGCATTGCGTTGCGCCGCACAAACTACACTACATGGATTCACCATCCAGATTGCACAACATTGATCTCATCACCTAGATTGCACCGCGCAGATTGCAAGAGATCACCGTTTGGGGCCCACGCTGGCTATACTAGGTCATGATGTGCCTTCTTCTTCTTCTTCTTGTTCTGCCTCTCCCCGTTGTTCACGCCCCTGGGGGCCCGACAACGGACCCCCACGAGGCCAGGACCAGCCCCAAGAAGCGCTCTGGAGGGCCTGCGTCTTGAGCAGGGACCAACCGTCCCGGCATTCCTATTAGTCCTACCGCGCAATGTTCTCAGAACCCAGAAATGCTTCAATCACAAAAAAAAATGTTAGAACACAAGCCCGATGTGATAAACAAGACAGACTCCGCCAGAAATGCTCTAAGAACATCTCGTGGAAACCACAAAAGGTTCTTAGAGCATTATTTTGTGGGGCTACAAGCAAGCCGGGGCGCTTCGCCACTGCTTGAACAGCTACACGCAAGGGTGACCCTGGGTAAGAGTGACCTTTGGTGCGCTGCTTTCTGGGGGTCGAGGGGGGCCAAACCTGGGCGCGCAAGCCGCTGCTCCTGCTTCGTTTTCGGCTATCTGGGGGCCCATCTGTGCCCGCACCAAAGGTCACTCCGGCGAAAGGTCACTCGTACGCCTAGTCGACGACCGTCGCCGCTCTCGCGGCCGCCGCAAGGCACGCCGGCCTTCGGCGAGGCGCCAGGCGGCGGCGCTAGAACATCGTTTGGTGGGACCATATACTCGCCATCGCTCGGACGTCCATTCCCTGTGTTTTTTGTCGGTTTCGTGCGTGGACTTTTCGCCAGATGAGCAAGGATGCTCTTCGATTGTCCTCGCCGAAGGAAACATGCACACGTCCGAGCGATGCCAAGTACCCATCGGTCGGAAGAAGTAGGTAGAAACATGAAGTAGGAAGGCGTTGGAAATAGATTGGGTTTCCGCCCGCCTCCTGAAGAGGAGGGAAAGGGAAAACCACTCGACTCTTGAAGCAGGAAGGCGCTGAAAGCAGATTGTAATCTGGGAATCCAAAAATCCGCCGATCCGGCGTGTGAGTTTCAAGGAGTCTCAGCTACAGCCTCGAGGCTGAGCTTCAGCCTCTGGGGGGGTCGCCGGGGTGGCTCTGCCGGGGAAGGGGGGGTGGGGGGGGGGGGGGGGGTGCGAGTTTCCGGCGAACCCCGGGGCCGCTCCGGGGGAGTGGAAGATAGGGGGGGGGGGGGCGCCATGCTCCGCTTTTTCCGGCGCTTTGGAGGAGGGGGGGGGCCCAAGAGACCCCCAAGGGGTTCCAAGAGGGCCCCGAGTCGCCGAAAAATCGCTCCAAGACGCCCGAGATGGCCTCCAGACGGCCCAAGGTGTCTCCAAGACGCCCCAAGAAGCTTCCAAGAGGCCTCCCAAGAGGGCCCCAAGAGGCCAGAATCGTTGATTTTCATTGGTTTTCTCAGGGTTTTTAGCGTTCTTGCCTTTTCGGGCGTCCGACGCTCGAAGACGGCCCAAGAGGCCCCCAAGTCCGTCCCAAGACGGCCCACGATGCTTCCAACACGGCCCAAGAGAGCCCCAAGACGGCCCAAGAGGGCCCCAAGACGGCCCAAGAGGGCCTCTGGACAGCCCAAGAAGGCCCCAAGAGAGCCCCAAGAGGGGCCCAAGAGGGGGACCACGAACCGAAAGAACCGAGCTTTCCGCCCCAAGAGGCCCCCAGGAGGCCCCAAGAGACCCCCAAGGGGCCCCAAGAAGCCCACAAGAGGCCCAAAAGAGGTTCCAAGAGGCCCCAAAACAGCTCCCCAGAGGCCTCCAGACTGCCTCCGGCAGGCCCCCGGTTTCTTCCGCGGCACCGCCCAGGGCGCCACCGGCAGGATGTCCTCCGTCTCATCGTTTTCCTTCAAGTTATCGCCTCTTCCTCATTCTCCTCCTCCTCCTCTGCGACCTCACTCCTATCCCTCAACGATCGCGTCACCGAGTGCCTCTTCTTTGAAACATCCTCGCTCTTCAAACGCACATCCATACACACATGCATACATACCTACATTTAAACACATTTGCATACATAGAAAAACAATCTTCCAGACATACATACTTACATTCACACACATACACACATATTATCATACACACATACAAACATACATACAAACTAAATACATACATACGCGCACAAGCATACATACATACATACGTACCTACACACAGGCACACATGATCAATGCATGCATACATGCATGCACGCGTACATACACACACATATATCGTGAAACTCACCGCGTGCTCGAAACTTGAGAGAGACCGCGGGAAGTCGAGAGAAGCCGCGGAACGAGGCCTCTACTACTACTACCACTACTACCACAACCACTACTACTACTACTACTACACTACTACTACTACTACTACTACTACTACTACTGCTACTACTACTACTACTACTACTACTACTAATACTACTACTAGTACTACAGGAGCGTTTCCCAACTAGTATGTGTGTGTGGGTGATGCTGTGTGCGCATGTCTGCGGCGCAGGTTAAGTGGTGTGACTGTGTGTGTGCGTTTGAGTGTGCGCCCATAATTTCTGCGTCTGGAGAATAACCCCGAGCGACCCGGATCGGCGGCACTGGCCGAAGGCCACTACAATACCTACTTTCAACGACCGATGGGTACATGCCAGCCGGGACGCTTCGCCACTGCTGGAGCGTCGTCGGCCGTCGTCGCTCCCGCCGCCGCAGCCAAGTATATGCGAGCCGGGACGCTTCGCCGCCGGCCGTCGTCGGCCGTCGTCGCCGGCCGTCGGCCGTCGTCGGCCGTCGTCGCTCCCGCCGCCGTCGTCGGCGTCGTCGCTCGCGCCCGTCGGCCGTCGTCGCTCCCGCCCGTCGGCGTCGTCTGCTTGAGCGTCGTCGGCCGTCGTCGCTCCCGCCGCCGCGGGCAGGGCCACGCCGGCCTGCGGCGAGGCGCCGGGCGGCGGCGCGCCGGGCAGCGCCTTCTCCTCGGGCCGCGCGGGCAGGGCGAGGGCGCCCCGCGGGTCGGCGGCGGCCAGCGGCCGAGCGGGGCGGCGGCGGCGGCGGCGAGGAGGGCTCGCCAACGGCGGCGGCGGCGGCGGCGAGCTGTGTGCGGAGTCCACGAGAAATGCAGTCGGCCCTGATTGGGCAGGACACGCGAGAGGGCACGAGAGCCCTCCGAGGGCCACGTCGCCACGGGAGCGTAAGAGGGCACGCGTCGCGAGGCACAGGACACAAGGGTACCCTTGAGCTGACAGGGTCGACCTACTAATCCGGGCCGACTGTAACGGGGTCTCAGGGCCCGACCAGGTCGTAAAAAAGGCCACCCAGGAGGTATCTAACCTGGGGGTCCCGAGCTGTAGGGTATCTAACATGGTGGTCCCGAGCTGGAATCACGTGCTTTTACATGGAGGAGGAGATAGTCGTCGGCGGCGGCGGCAGTGGCGGCGGCAACAACGACAACGACGAGGACGTCGACGGCGAGGAGACGCAGGAGGGTGGGGAGGAGGAAGACCAGTGCAAACCCAACACGCGTCAGCGACGGTGCAACAAGCCCTCCATCCAAGTTCCCTCTTCCGAGGTCTCTACACGAACATATTTTCGTTGCAGGAAGTGGCCCGTTTAAGACAACGGTCCGAAGACCTCAAAGCCCCAGGCTCTGAAAAGGAGAGAGGCCTCGCCAGGACCAGGAAACGACAATCAAACAACAGTTTCACAGTATAACATTGGACGGATTTGGGCACTAAGAAATTCTACGTGGTGCCAAAACACCACTCCTAGGAACTCAACGCCGCGAATCAACCTGACCGTTGCGTCCTGACAGCCCTGAATCGCGCCAGAACGCCGTTCCTGGGATTTCAACACCGCTGAAGCCAGAACACGGGATTTCAGCCCTGCGAATCCATAAAACTGCTGCAAACGTGAAAAATGCCTGTGCGTAAGGCTGAAGCGAGAGCCACATGTTGAAAAGGATCCAGCCTCCATCCTTCAACATTCTACGAACTTTACTACATGTGCGCGGCGCCGAAGCGCGAGATCCATTTCGATAACGGCCCGCCCTCCACCCTTGAACCTGTTGCGAATGTCAAGCGTCAGGATCATACATGTTGAGGAATTCTCGGGCGAAACGCCTGGCCCGACCTACAGACACGCCTGGGCGTGCGGCAGGGAGGAATGAGAAAGAGAAGGGATGAAAGAACTCGTCGACAACCGCGACGGCGACGGCGGCGAAGGCGACGTCGGCGGCGACGACGTACGCGAAGATAACGACGAGGACGTCGATGACGAGAAGGATGAGGGCAGAAAGGGAAAAGGACGAGGAGTAGAAGGCTAAGACTTCCATACTCCTCCTCGTCCTCATCCATTTGTCTGGCTGGGAATCTGCATGTCATACGCTGCGAAAGTTCTGGTGGGAGGAGGACGAGGAGTACGGTGACATAGTGGAGTATGACCAGAGGGGCTTGATCATGAGCTCCTGGGCCAGCTCCACCGAGACGTACAACCTTCTGGGCTCCAACTTCGAGCTCTCGGTTGTCATGACAACGGAGTGGGGAGGTGACCATGCGTTGGGGCACGGCGCTTTCGATGACGTTGCGAAGTACGTTCACATGTTTGTTCTTCAGAATATTGATATCAGTTTTGAGGATGTTGTTGGGGTTTCGTCTTTCCTGGTGATCGGGAATATTCGTTCGGATACAGGTGGTTGATAACCCACCAAGCATGGAATCGACTTCAACATGCGCTCCACGGCAATGGACCAGACCGTGGAGCAAAGGTTGCGCTGCGCAAGAGATTGGCGAAGTTGGCCAACACTCCTGCAATGATGGCATCTCGGGTGACGACGGTGCTCGAGATCAAAGGTATGCCTCAAGCTCAGAAGACCTACGATCATCTCAGGAACGTGAGTAAAGAGCGAATGGCAGAAATTTCACGGATGGAGGCGGACAAAATCTTTCCAGAGATCACTAAGTGGTTGAAGGAGAGGCCGATTGGTTCGACACCTCCAGCAGCGGATAAGGAACCCAAAAAGAAGAAACTCAAGAAGAAGAAGAAGACAACCACGGCTACTACTCCACCGAGCTGGCAGATGACGACCAAGCTCGATGATGCGGACTGGTCGCTGCCCACTACGCGTGGACTACCTCAACAGTATGATGACATGAAGCGGATCCATCTGGTTACCGTTAGTGAGATGTCGCAGTTACTTGCAGATAAAGACTTCTGGAACAAGGCACCCTCGAGCGACCCATTCGGATTTGTTCTAGCACAACCACCAGACAGTCTACCCAAAGATCTCGTTCTTCAGTGTGCTCAACGTGGACTGACGGACCGTATTTCCCTACTGAGTGTACCGTTGGTTCATCCAGACGGTCGCCGTGAACTACGCAAGCTATTCGTGTGGCAGCACGTTGGCGAGCAGGGCACGGATATCAAACCTACGCGTGTTCCCACCAAGATCGAATGCCAGTCAGAAGTTCTTATGTCTGCGGCGGTACTGGAGGAGCACTCATCGGAAAAGTTATTTAAAGAGCTCGTGCGTCTTCATCGCCAAGCGACAGCAGCTCGCGACAAGCGTGCTGAAGCGAGTGGTGGAGGCCTGCACAAAAGTTCAATGAGATGCCACCCTGGCGTGTCCTCGACGCCGAGATGGCCAACATCGTGAAGACCAAACTTGTCCCCACTGATTTGGATATTATATGTTACAGTGGGCGGATGTTCAATGAGGATGATACAGGTCGTCGTGTATTGTCAGCTTTATTTCGTATACCAGCAAATCGAGTCCAGCAGCTTCGTGAAGTGTCAGGCCCTGATGGAGTATTCTTTCAGAGATCCAACATTGGCAGCGACGGAGCAGTACTCAAGCAGGACAAACAAGATGAGGAGTTTGTGCCCTTCCAGCGTGGCAAAACCATCACCGAGGCGATCGAGTTGACAGCCTCTCTGGAAGGTGCGTGTGGGCTTGGCTATCACTTCAAGTCGCTCAACCTCTTTCTTCGTGTCAAAAAGCAAAGCGCGGCAGCAGCGTGGCAGGTGCTCCAGCAAAGAGCTCCTCCAGCGGCCACGATCTATGAGATCTCCCCCTTGCCAGCTTTAATCGACGGTAAATCTTTGTGTGACCAGCTCAAGACGCAGCTGGGATGGCAATCTGAATTTGTGAGTGCACGACAACGTGGCAATGGCAAACGACGCGTCCCAGTGGTACGTGTGCGTGCTGAATCAGCCCCTGCCAGTCGCGATATCTATTGGAGGATGTCAGGCTACGATAAATCCAAAAGTTGAGAAGATTACTGAAGCTCCTACCACAGCACCTACGTGGGCCGAGCTTGTCACACAATATTCTACGAGTGCGTCTACATCTACACCGAAGCCGCCTGCGACAGCCAGAAAGAGCATTGCTGCGCAATTGACTCGACCGAATCCGACTGCACAGGCCCAAGATGCACAGATGCCACCTCGAGCACAACCGCAAGCTCAACAGCCAGAAGCAGGCGCAGGGCTTTCCTCAGAATTTCGTGAATTTCTAACATCAGCTATTGGAGCCGCAGTTGGAAGCCACAACTCAGCAATATTATCACAGCTGCACCTTCAAGGTCAAGGACTTGCACGGTGTCTGGACATGATGATTGGCCCAGCTACTACCGCTATACCGTCCTCGCCATCGACAGCTACTCTGGTCACTGACGAAGAACGTAAACGGAAGGCCGAGCTTGAGGAGTTCACGAAGAAGCTCAAGACGTCCTTGGAAATGAAGGTGGAACAATGATGGCCTCGCGACGTATGCGAGGCAAGCAACCGCCACCTCCAATGGCGGCGGCTGAGGGAGAGATCCCAGTTTTGGCCACAATCTTATCAGCAAATGTCACATCCTGGAATTCGTTTGTGGGCCGCATGGACACCATGGGCGCCGACTTACTTCTATTGCAAGAGACGCGATTAGATTACAAACAACAGATGGGGTGCTCGAAGGCGTGCCAGGCTCATGGATATGAAGCTACTTTCGGACACCCGCTCAAAGCTCAGAAATGTCTTGGAGATAAATATCACCGTACACAGCAAGGCGGTGTTGCCACTATTGCCAAACGATCGCTGGTCACGCTTCCAGGCGGGCGAAAGTATGGGGCTGCCAAAGAGATGTTTGCGACGACCCGCTGGCTGCGAGTTGTAGCGCTCTTTGGCTCACGTCCCATCCACTTCGTCAATCTCTACAACGAGGCTGGCCACGACAACATGATCAGGACCCGAAATGATCGGAACCGGCACTACACTTTCGAGGATGCTGAGAGCCTAGGCGACCAAGCCGTGGTCATCTGCATGGACGCGAACACCACTACGGGGCACTCCTCAACACTGGCTGCTATTCTTGCCACGGGCCGCTGGCACGACGTGGGAGCTATGTATGGAGCTGAACCGACATGCGGGGTGGACCCTACATGGGACAAATTTACACCTGGTACGAATGTGAATCGCCCAGACCTTGTCATAGTCAACACGGCGGCCAGGGATGCGATCAAAACGTTTCGACTACGTCGCGACCTGGGTATAAAAAGTCACCTGGGGCTCGAGATGGTGCTGAACGCTGTGCAGCTGACGAATATGTTTGACAGCATCAGGATCCCACGAGCCTATCCAGTTGATTCCGTCATCAAAATCAGTGCCGAGGAGAGCGACGCCCTTGGACGACAATGCATAGAAGCACACTATGAAGCTTTCGAGCAAGCGCTTGTAGACGAACGGGCCGAAGATGCTTGGGCCCTCGTCGGAAAGATTGGAGAACTTTATCTGGAGAAGAGGCTTGATCATACCGGTATCACCTTCGGAGCTGCGTATCATGGTCGAAGCCAAGAGCCTGAACTCACTACCTGGGAGAGTACGGCACCACCTGCAGGGCGAGACAAGCTGAAGGAGGGACCCACAGCGACTATTTTACGACGCTTGGAGAACCTCATCAGCCGTCTAGCCGAGCTTGCACTGCAACTGCACCGTGGAG